TCTCTAGTGTGAGAAACTGAAAGTGTAAATAAGGATGAAAATGATTAAAACAAATAACTGATAATTTGAAATAGGAAAAGGTCCAAAGGTGGAGGAGTGGTGGGAGGGGAAGGGGAAAGGCCAGTCTGAACCACATAGTGAGACCCTGTCTCAAAAAAAACAAAAAACAAAGTTGACAGAAAGTGGGGCCTTTATATGTCAGGAAGAAAAGATAAATGTCTTTGAAATGGAATTTGAGATCAGCTTACTGAAATGACTAAGTCAGCCAAACATTTACAAATGGTAATGATTCAAAAAGCAATATGGGCCAGGGATTTAGCTCAGTGGTTCCACTGCCTGCCTCACAAGCGCAAGGTCCCAAGTTTGATCCCCAGTACAAAAAAAAAAAAAAAATACATCCCCTCCACTCTACACCATGAACTGGATTCAGGGGTCAGGCACACAAAGCACATCTAATGAAAATCAGTTTGCTAACTGACTAAAACAGTGAGTAACAGGAAAACATTATATGAATATTAATTAAAAAGTGAAAAAGTAGCCTTATTTTTTTCAAATGTGATGTTTAGCATGATCATTATAATAAAGAGGTTTCTCAGAGTGCAAGATCAGAAGAAAAAAATTAGTAGGGAGAACAGTTATAGAGAGTGAAAGAAATGTTGGTATACTGGTCAGAGCAGAGGCCAAGTTTTAGTGAGTTGAAAAATCAGAAAATGAAATTAATGAAGCAGTTTCATTTATAATAGCACAAAGGGGCCAGGGATTTAGCTCAGTGGTTCTGCCACCTGCCTTGCAAGTGCTAGGTCCCGAGTTCGATCTCCAGTACCCCCAAAAAAGTACACACAATACAACAGCAGAAAAAGAACAAAATACTTAAGGATAAATTGAGCAAAAGAAATGTAAAACTTGTTCTCTGAAATTATAAAACATTATTGAAAGGAATCAAAGACTTAATAGAAAGACAGTCCATGTCTTTCACAATATTAAGATGGCAGTGCTCCTCAAATCCATCTACAGACTAAACACAATCCCTAGCCACACCCCAGCTGCCTTTTTTTAAAAATTAATTTTATTGGTACATTTTAGGTATACAATATAATGACATTCATCATTGGAAATTTGTACCTTTACATAATCTCTCTTGGTT